GCAACCCGTATTGTCAGCGTGTTCTGGCATGGCTGGCAATGCCACTTGTCTGCCAGTCGCCTTTCCTCCAGATCATGCAGACAGCACAGGCCACCCTGCTTCTTCTTGGGGTACACCCACACAACTGAGCCTCCCCCAGTGGAACATGGGTAAACCTGAAGTAGGCCCCCAGTGGCCCTGGCCATAACCCCGGAGCAATGCCATGCCACCCTTGTCCCCTGCCTACAGCCCAATGCTCGGGAGCCGGAGAGGAATTCTGAAGCTTAGAAAACTGCAGATCCAAGACGGAGGGAGTCTGGGTCCCTTGAATTACTGCCTAGAAGAGACAGCATTGCTGCCTGCCTGCCACTGACCCACCCTGCACTGTGACGTGGGCGCCTGTGATGCACTGCATCCCCTAGATTCGGAGGTGGTTTGTTACAGCACCTAGCATGCTAGAACGACTGACCCATTTAGAAACCCGGAAGACCATTCTACCAAAGACGACCGAGACTCCCACTGTAAGAAAAAATCTGAACGTACCACTTCCTGTCTGGTTTCTCAGGCTGGAAGCCTGACTTCTATTATCTGCATGGTGATTAAGGTTCTCATCACAGAATTATAGTAGGCGAGGAGGAAAGTGGAGACAAATATGTGGCTGCTTAAAAACATCCAGGTAAATGCCCGATAATCCTCCCCACTCTAAGTGAGACTTCAAACAGGGAATTAGCCGCTTTTGATAGAAAAGTTTCGCTTATTATGCTCAACAAGAATAACGTAGACTGTGATCTTGTTTAGAATAGTCATCTCTAACAGGCTGTTAATTCTCGAGAGACCCCATCGAGTGCCTTGTCTGTTATCCTGAGCAGAATGAAAGGAATTTCTTCTTTATTATTTGTGAGAAATGCCCAGTGAAATCATCTGGCGGGGTTAATCCTATTTGATTCACTCGTTTTATCTCTTTAATAAAAAACTGGTCCTTATGGCTGCGGACTACAAATGTGTGGGTGAGTTTCAGCCCCCTGGCCTGACTCTGTAGAGTGACCAGCTGGGCTGTGAAAGTATTTCCGTTTCAGGATCAATTTGGCTCCAGTCCTATACTGGGGCATTGGGGGGAACCCCAGAAGTACGCCACCCCCGCCCCCTACCCACCAGCTGAAGGCAGCAGCAGACGGGGAGTTTCTAACAGAAGGTGTCTCCTGGCCCGAGAGCTTCCTGTGACCTGAACTCAGGCTGTAGCACTGCTAGGTGGAAGATTCCAGGTACCGTGGACCCTGAACCACGGGTGTGGCTACAAGCATTGGCAGCTCCCTTTGGCTGTGAACTTCCACAGCCACTGCTAACTCATCATGCAGACCAAGCGCGGTCTGTTGACAGGATCGGCGCTGGTGCCTGTTCGCAATGCCACCTCCCATCAACAGAGTAGAGGGCGAGGAGAATGGAAGCCCCTTTATCCTTAACGTTTTCTTTTTGCCTCAGAGATGGCCAGCTGTGGGATAGAGCCGCCTCTGCTTCACCTCCATGGGTCTCGGAGAATCGCTCGGAGGCTGTGGGCCATGCCCAGGCCCCAGGGGGAGAGCCAGGTGGAGAAGGAAGTGCCTGGCAACCCTGAGACCAGGCACCTGTGTGGGGCACACATACTCCCAACACCGCCCACCTTGAGCGTCCAGCATCAGAAATCACTGATCAGCACCAAGTAGGAAAGACAGAGGGACTAGGGAGCAGTACAGACATTGCCTTTCACACACACACGTAAACGTGGAAGTGAGAGGTAATAGAAATGCTCCACAGACTTTGACACTCCCTCGTGTGTGTGTGTGTGTGTGTGTGTGTGTGTGTGTGTGTAAGACGACGTACGTCTATCATGAAGGAGCCTAGAGGGCACAACCAAGAAGCACTCAGCTGCTGAGTGCAAGGTCAGCGGTTAGACCCCCGCGCCCCCACCCACACCCACACCCCCGTGGTCTGCTCGTGCGAAGACTGCAGCCTGGGACACCCGTGGGGCAGGTCTGCTCTGTCACGTGGGCCACTCCACGTCTAAAATCAACTCGATGGCACCTAACAATGACATATCGTGTTTGTGTTGTGTGTATGTGTCTGTGTGCACAGGCGTGCACGAAGGGGCTTCCACCTTGGTGTGGAAATGGAATTCAATGAAAATAACAGTTTAAAGATAACGAACTTCTCCCTGAGCCTTCTGAAGCCCCGGTACACACACCAGACACAAGAACTGTGCCTGTAAAACGGGCTGTTCTAACTCAAGAGCACAGGAGCAGGAACCGGCAGTAAAAGTAGGACGTGATGTAGCGTCTGTGTTTGTTGCCTTTGTTTCCAGTAACACTTATTTAATTGTCAGTTTGTTTGAATTAGAAACCGTGGTGGCATAGTGGGTTGCACATTGGGCGGCTCGCCGTGAGGACGGCAGTTCGAACCTGCTGTCTGCTCAGCTTTCTGCCCCCATGGAAACACGCAACCTCAGCAACTCACGGTGACAGTTCTACTGGGTCCTACACACATCAGAATGGACTCAAAGGCAGGTTGTTGGAGTTCTGTTTGATTTCGTTTTAAATAATGGCTGTGTTTAACTGCCTCACATCATTCCCGAGAACTCATAATTCATCCTGTGCATCACCCAGGCCAGTGCCAGCACACGCTTTTCTAGCCCTTAGAGGTTGCTGGTTTGAAGCCCCCGAGGGACAGACAGCAGGGGGTCGACAAAAACCCTGGAAGATCCTGTCTCGGCTTGGTCCTCAACATCCCCACTAAGCCCTACGTCCTACTCCGCAGTTGGAGACAAAGTGGGGTATCAGCTAGGGGTTGCCAGACGTAGCCATATCCTTAATGGAAATGGGTGACTTTTGTTTGTTTAATGGTATTGCACCTTTCAATGTTCTTATTCCCAGCAGCCCGGAGCACAGCTTTCTTTCTCCTGGACACTCACCCTGCCCTGCCAGGTGTCTGCCTTAACATGACCCCGGCCAACTCCAATCACAACACCAAGCCCCACAAGCTCCCTGGCTTCAGGCAATGGACTCTCTGGGCTATAGCAAGCAGACCCCTCTCACCCGGTCCTCTCCACACCTGCAACTTTACAAACTATCACCATGCCCACAGCTTCTGCTTAACCAGGGTGCAGGTCAGGCACAGACGGGGCACCAAGAAACACAAGCAAGTCTCCTCCCCTCCAAGAGCTCATCGTGGTACTGAGAGTGACTCGCTAACAGAAGAAATAAAACCCATTTAAAACCAACTGTCAAAGCGTGCAGAAGTTTATCCCTGGTTACGTAAAGGGAATTAGCAGTCCCAGCCTGCAGAGACCTGTGAGCCCTCCACAAAACTCCCCAAGTCTCTCTTCCAAAGTCTGCCGAGGCTTCCCAAGCCAGGTCTCCTAACGGCTCCCCTCCCACTTCACCCCCAATTAAGGGCTGAGTGGGCCTCTCGCCATTGGTTTTAACAAGTCCCACAACGAAACCAGCCTCCAGGTCTAGGAGTTCCTGGGAGGCCCTGGACTAGTTCCTAGAGAAAGGCTGGCAGTGTGAACCCACGCAGAAGTGCCTCGGAAGATGGGACTGTCTGCTCCAGGAAGCACCCCTTCTGCCGCCCCCCTCACCACCACCACCCCTGCTTCAAACTGTTCCTTAGGGAGCAGTTCTGCTGTGCACACCAGAACCCACTCAACCGCAAGGCGGCCACCAAACTCCCTCTGGAAGGTCGTATGAGACAGGGGCAGTAAGGCCATGACGAGGGACAAGGTCAGACACTAGCTGCCCTTAGGGAGACAGGACAGGGCACACAGGGGGCCGAATGACATGAGCCGCTGGTGACGATCCCAAACACTCCAATGCCCCTCACACCTCTATCCCACAGCAGGAGCCCGGCCCCATCATTACGCCTGAAACTGAGACACTCGGCTAATGTTTAATCCACCACAGGGGCCTGGGAGCAGAAATCCAGGGTTTCTCCACTGGCCAGACACACAGATAGAACCTGCTCCCCCCAGCATTTTAGGGAACACAGGCTAGCTTTATGCATCCTTTTTTGTACACGACTTGATAGGCGCACAACATGAATTCTCCAATCTTGCCAGTCATAGCTAAGGGCTTGTTTTACAGTTCTAGAACGATGCAAAACAACAACATGACCAGACAGGGGAGGGAAGTCAGTGGCCCCTGGGCACACAGACTCATCTGAGCTGCCCTCACAGAGTGAGGGACTCAGCCTTGGACACATCTCCGCCAGGCCCTGGATGGGGAGCCTTCCTTCTGACAGCCAGGCAACCTGATCCCTCCCTTGGCCTCTCATGTCAAATGTCTTCCCAAATGACTTAAGGGCCCTGGAATTTC